TGCTGCTATGAACATCGATGTAGCAGTGTCCCTGTAGCATGCTCTTTTTAGGTCTTTAGGGAATAGACCGAGAAGGGGAATAGCTGGGTCAAATGGTGGCTCCATTCCCAGCTTTCCAAGAAATCTCCATACTGCTTTCCAAATTGGCTGCACCAATTTGCAGTCCCACCAGCAGTGTACAAGTGTACCCTTTTCCCCGCATCCTCGCCAGCACTTGTTGTTGTTTGACTTCATAGTGGCTGCCAATCTAACTGGAGTGATACTATACTACAGAGCAATAGTAACAAAAACAGCATGGTACTGGTACCAAAACAGGCGGGTGGACCAATGGTACAGAATAGAGGACACAGAAACCAATCCACAAAACTACAACTACCTTATATTTGATAAAGGGGCTAAAAGCATGCAATGGAGGAAGGATAGCATCTTCAACAAATGGTGCTGGGAAAACTGGAAATCCATATGCAACAAAATGAAACTGAATCCCTTTCTCTCGCCATGCACAAAAGTGAATTCAAAATGGATCAAGGAGCTTGATATCAAATCAGAGACGCGCCGTCTTATAGAAGAAAAAGTTGGCTACGATCTACAGTCGGTGGGGTCGGGCTCCAAATTCCTCAATAGGACACCCATAGCACAAAAGTTAATAACTAGAATCAACAAATGGGACTTACTCAAACTAAAAAGTTTTTTCTCAGCAAAAGATACAATAAGAGAGGTAAATAGAGAGCCTACATCCTGGGAACAAATCTTTACTCCTCACACTTCAGATAGAGCCCTAATATCCAGAGTATACAAAGAACTCAAAAAATTAGACAATAAGAGAACAAACAACCCAATCAACAAATGGGCCAAGGACCTGAACAGACACTTCTCAGAGGAGGACATACAGTCAATCAACAAGTACATGAAAAAATGCTCACCATCTCTAGCAGTCAGAGAAATGCAAATCAAAACCACCCTAAGATTTTCCAAATTTTTAACTCTTGTTCTTTTTCTATACTAGAATCCCATTCTGTCCCTCACATTCCATTTGTCATAGCTCTTTATGTTCCTCTTTGCTATGATATTTCTTCAAATCTTTCTTGTTAGATGACTCTGACAATTTAGGGGAATACCATTCTGTATATTATTGGTTGTCTCTGTGTTAAAATAAGCTTTTCTAATGATTATAGGGGGATTATTTGTTTTTGGGAGGAAGGTCACAGATATAAAATGCTATTCATCACATTAGTTCCAGGTTGCTGCAGTCCAGCTGCAGCAAAATAACCGGGGCATGATGAACAACTTGTGTACATTGATACAGCAGGAGTGGGAGCCGTTTATTGTAGGACAGGAGGGGTATATATACATTACACACAGCTTATCTTAATTAGCATAAACTAGATACAGCAGTCAACAATAAGGAATCTCCACACTTAATGGCTCTCTGGTGTTACTTCACAAACCACTCCCTCTGGCAAAATGCCAGGTGCCATCCTGACTTGTTTACAGACCCTAACATTTCCCCCTTTTGTTTAATTTAAATAACAACCATAGTGGTTTTTACACAAACACCACAAACAGTCTGCTACAAGCAGAAGGGGAGGATACAAAATGTCACAATACCAAGCCAATTGATGGCTCCATGCAAGAAGCCCTTGGAAAAATTATACCAGCAATGACACCGTTAGCAAAGATACCGAGTTACAATTTGTTGTAGATTACAGTTTGTTGTCTCAGTCCAGGTAAAGCAGTGTCTCAATAGATTAACTCACAGTCCAGGTAAATCACAGTCCAGGTAAGTTCTGCAGGCAGCTAGCTTAAATGACAGTCCAGGTAAGTTTGCAGGCAGCTAGCTTGATCCAAAGTCTCCTCTGGTTCTCAGCAACACTGGAACTTCTTCCACCCTCGTCCTCACTGGCACTGGGACGAAGGCAGGAACTCTGGCAATGCTGGCTAAAGAAAATCCTGTAGCATTCCACTAAGAGAACAACCTTCTGAACAATTTAGTACATTATCTCAAGGTTTTTTTACATTTGAAATAAGACTTAATAGTGCTCATTATTTATTAGCTTCCAGGTGTGGGAGAACCATTGTAGTTACTGGCCTTGGAAATGATCAAACTTCAGGGACGCGGGGGCGTCTTCTGCCTGCAGCATCCCAGGCAGCCCCAGATGGCCCCAGGGAGAGTCTGGGGAGTGTTCTGGACTCAAACTGCCACTGGGCACAGGGAGCAAGAGCCTGTGAGACTGTGCCTCCGGGTCAGGTTTGGATTTGGGCTCTCGCAGTGGCCTCCTGCTCCCCGGGTGGGGGGTGGGGAAGAGCCCACTGCCGCTGCTTGGAAAGTCCTTGCTGCGCCATGACCTGCTCACGCACGTGGCTGCTGCCACGCCGATTCACGCACCCTCCGGTAACGAAAAGTATGCAGTAATAGCCTTTTGTTGCAACTTTTTTCCTGATAATCCTTCCTCCTCTGAACTTTCTTCTTTCTGACTAGAGTTCCTGGGCTTCCATCAACACATGCCCTAACTATTCTTGGTTCCACTGGGGTGCCTCCTTCCCTTAGTAATTTACTTCTCACCCCTTCCATATTTTCATCATAAAGACAATACAACATTTCAAGACAAAACAAGACACAAACGTACTGTATCAATCTTCTCCATTTTTTCAAAATGGCCATTTTTCCTCTCGCCCTATCTGCCTAGGGACAAGCAGATTTGCTCCCATCCTATCTAGGGACAGGCAGCTTTTTTTCCGTCACTTACCCCCGAGTGTCCCGGGGCTCCCGGTACGGGCCACCATCTGCCGCAGTCTGGCTGCAGCAAAATAACTGGGGGGTGACGAACAACTTGTGTACATTGATACAGCAGGAGTGGGAGCCGTTTATTGTAGGACAGGAGGGGTATATATACATTACACACAGCTTATCTTAATTAGCATAAACTAGATACAGCAGTCAACCAATAAGGAATCTCCACACTTAATGGCTCTCTGGTGTTACTTCACAAATCACTCCCTCTGGCAAAATGCCAGGCGCTATCCTGACTTGTTTACAGACCCTAACACCAGGTATATATTATCAAAGTGAATGTTGACTTTTGATGCTGAACTTGATCACCTGAGGTAGTGGTTTTCAGGTTTCTCCATTGTGAAGCTACTTTTCCCTCTCCTATTCCCACACTGTACAGTTCATAAGGAGGTTGCTATGTGCAGCTACTGTTTTATGATGGAGGAGTTATGCTCCCATTTATTAGGGTGGTGTATTATGTTAGTGCTCTCCAGAGGAACGAAGCAATATGAACATGGATATTTATTTTAAGAACTTGGAAATGGGGCTGGGGATGTGGCTCAAGTGGTAGCATGCTCACCTGGCATGCGTGCGGCCCGGGTTTGATCCTCAGCACCACATACAAACAAAGATGTTGTGTCCGCCGAAAACTAAAAAATAAATATTAAAAAACTCTCTCTCTTTAAAAAAAATATTTTTTTTTTTTTAAAAAAGAACTTGGGAAATGGAAATGTGGGGGCTTGACAAGTCCAAAATTTGATCTGGTTAACATTCATGCTGAAGACTCAGGAAGGAGTAGGCAGAAGGAGGCCAAAGAAAGTCTGTTAAGCTTTTAAAAGGTTATTATATTTTTCAGTGATAAAGTTTCCATTTTTTACATCTTCTGTTTTTTTTGTTGAGTCTATTTTTTGTTTCTTTTCTTTTTTATTAAATTATTTATTCATCTTAATTTCTTATCCATGATTGCAGAATGCAATTCATTTTATATGACACATATAGAGCTCAATTTTTCAAGTCACTGATTGCGCAGAAAGTATTTTCACACCATTTGTGTCTTTATACATGTACTTAGGATAATGATGTCGAACTCATTCCACCATCATTCCTACCCTTTTACCCCCTCCCTACCTACCTCTCCCTCCCCTTTGCCCTATCTAAAATTCCTCCATTCCTCCTATGCTTGCCCCCCCCCCCACACACACACATTGCCATTATGAGTTTGCATTCCTTTTGAAAGGGGAGTGAATCACCTGAGATGGAAATTCAACCAAGAGATTTTTATTGGGGGGGCTGCTTCAAGGGAAAAAAAAGGAAAGGAAGAGAGCAGCAGCCTGAGCCTGCAAGCTTCAGCTTAAGAAGGGTTGCTTAGATGAGTTGGTGGGTGCTGATTGGCAGGGTGACTCAGGAACAGGCGAGCAGACACTGTGTCCTGTGGGGATAGGTCTAGAAAACTTTTGACTTTGGTGCCCTTCTGCTTGGAGCCCTTTGGTGAGGAGAGGGGGAGGGGTAAGGGATTACATGATGTTCTTCTCCAGAGACTGAAACTTAACTTCAGCGGGGAGAAACCCCATTGGGGAAATAAAACCAAAAGGCAAGGTCTCCCACACCCAACACCTTTGTTTCTTTTTTGGGGATGGTGGTTTGTGTTGGGTACCTGTGATTGAACCTTGGGCTGCCAAACCCCTGAGCCACATTCCAGTCCTTTTATTTTTTGTTTTAACACAGGGATTTTTCCAAGTAACTTAGAGCTTTTCCTTTGTTTCAAGATTGTTTGTATCTTCTTGTTGAAGCATTTTTATCATGGTTGCTTTAAAATCTTTGTTGTGTAATTGTAACATTTTTGTTATCTGTCCCCCCCTATTGATTATCATTTTTTTTTACTAAAATTGAAAACTTCCTGGTTCTTGTTATGATTAATCATTTTGTGTTGAAACTTGTATATTTTTGTTTTGAGGTTTTGGAGTCTTGGTTTTATTTAAACATTATTTTTAGCTGTTTTTTTCCTGATACCAGTCCTGCAGGACATAGGGGACCTGACATATTGCTGCCTGGTGGAGGCAGACTTAGTTAATCCTTGGCACCTGAGGAAAGGGGTCTCCTTGTTATATCTGGGTAAATATGGGAGCTGCAGCTTTCATGCTGTTTCCCTAGGTCTGTAAATTCAATAATACACACACTTTAAAAAGAATTTTTTATATATTGCACTGATTTTACCTTCTTGCCAATAAAGGAAAAGTCTGGAGCTGTTGCCTAGAGAATTGGAAGTCATTTAGTTCCAGTTGCTACTTTTTTTTCTACTGATGCAAAATCTTGGAAGGAGAGTCAGGATAACTCCTCTAGAATGGAGGCTCACCTGGTGGTGATCAACAGCAAGGAAGAGCAGGTACTTTCTAAGGGACAATGGAGTCATGAGCCTGTCTGACTTTTGTACTTGTGTTTGCTAAGAATGGATATTTATGCTGTGGCAGAAGACTTTCCATAAGACAGATAGGAGAGGCTCCCTCAGCCTTCACATTCCACAACTTGTACCTTCTTCAGTGTAACTAACCTACCCCCAGGGAAATTGTGGCATTCAATATGTAGGATCTGGGCTGTTAGTGGAAGGATGAAAATGTTTCTGCCTAAAACAGCAGTTGCTATTTCAATATATAACTGTTTTCTGAATGATCAACTGCTTAACAGAAAGGAGAATTAATTTGAATGGGCAAAGTTAAATCAAAATACTCACAATCAGCAATCAGGAATGAAATTTTAAGAATCTGTGAAGTGCTTGTTGTTGTAGTACATGCTTGTAATCCCAGGGGCTTGGGAGGCTGAGGCAGGAGGATCTCAAGTTCAAAGCAATCCTCCACAATGTAGCAAGGCACTAAGCAATTTAGCAAGACCCTGTTCCTAATTGAAATATAAGAAAGGGTGGGAATGTGGCTCAGTGGTTAAGTACTCTTGGGTTCAACTTTGGGTACCAAACAAACAAACAACAACAACAACAACAACAACAAACCCACATGATATAATGAAAGGAAAATGATTAAATTTGTAAGAATTTTATCTTGAACAACTTTGAAGAATGTTCTCTCAGTGAAGAAAGAGGGAAGTTGAATTTGAGATGAGAATTCATTGTGGTTGTAGGTATGAATCTCTTTCATATTTAATAAAATTAAGGCTCACAGATGATGTCTTTGATCCTTTTGTGCTCAAAAATCTCCAGTGCTGAGGTCCCCATCTGGTTATTCCTGAACCATCTCCTTTTGTTTTAATTTCTGTATGACCATAAAGAGTTCAGTTGAAAAATCACACTGTACCTTTAGTATGTATAATTATTAATGTTAGTAAAATCTTTCAAAAGATATAAAGAAGATGGAAATGTTAACTATGACAATTTTATAATTATGCACTGTGTATATCTGTCAAATTACTTGTTATCTGATATATTTTATGATTAAAATAAGAAAGAAGAAATAAATCACAAAAATTCTTTAAAAACATTTTTATTGGTGAATTATATTTACACATGAGAGTGGACTTCATTCTGTTTTATTAATACCAGTACAGAGCATGATTTGTCAAATTAAAAAAACCCTCAGTTCTAGCTGAGTATCTAAAGCCTATGATTTCTTTCATATTTCTTTTCCTTTAGGATTTCCTCACTCAGATTATGGATAAAGCTGCTGCTTATTTTATGGGGCTATTAGATCCAGAGGGTCATGGACACTGGCAATGGGTTGATCAGACCCCATACAACCAAGGTGCAATGTGAGTACAGAATTAGATAAAGGAATCCTGGGTCCTGGGTCATGCAGGAAGTTTAGAGTGTTCCAGCATCAACTCTGAAACTAAAACAGCTCACTCTTGTCCTGTTGCACACACAGTTAATCAGTTTTAAGGTATTAGAATCTCTGTTCCAAGAACTGAGGATTGAAACAAATGGATATTTCTTTTTATAACCCAATATTCTTAGTTCAATGTCCATGTATCCATAATAGATTTCCATGTATTCAGACGATTCCTTAAGTATGTGGATATGTTTTTGATGCTACTAAAGAAATAAAAATGTACATAATCTACTTTCTACAACCTGAAAAATATTGAGGCAGGATCTCAAAGTCATTTACTTGAAGTCTGCTTCTGAATGTAAACCATTTCAGGCTTCACTTTACATGAGGAGGGAGGATTTTTATTGAACTTTGCCCAATATTTGTCTCGACTGATACCTGTAACAATACTGGTGTCAAGTACTGTAGTACTGCCAAGAGGAGCAGAATTTTTATTTTCTAAGCAAATGACAAATCTTGTGAAACAAAGAAAATGTGTGGGTAGAATTAAAGCACCTTCATGAGGTACTCTGCCTGGACCAGTGGCCTTAGGAATGTTTTGCTTGTCAACTCCTGAAAGGAAATTTAAAAGACCATGTAGCCTCTTATGCAATTTTACATATAAAATATTTCTTCATGTTATAGAAGCAAAGGTTTCAACTTTGGAACTTTGTAAATACTGACCTTTAAAATGATTACACCTCTTTTTAAAATATATCTCCCAGGGTCTATAAACCATAACAAAGTATTAACTCCCATGATCCATTAAAAGAAGAATAAGTGAAAATTCTGTTATTCTGGTTACCACTAGTGCTGTGAGTGAAAAGGCTTTTCCCTCTGGAACAAAAAGTGTTTTGTTTAGTGGTTAGATATTTTACAGTCTTTCCCCCCTTGGACTAATATTTATGTCACACTTCTCTTATCTACTAAATACATACATAAGTACATGTTTAAAAATTTCCTTTCCTTTGAGTTGTTCAGCTTTAAGGTTGTAAAAAATTCTTTTGGATTGGCTTATTGTTATAAGTATGATCAGTATACAATATTGAACACATCATGAGTTTACTATAAATTTTAATAAAACATTACTAATAAAGTGAAATTCCATTTGAAACCTTATCAAGGTGAAATGGGATTTTAAAAACTGCCATCTGATGTATCTATCCATCATCAAATCATATTATTGTTAGCATGAGGTAGTTTTCAACATCACAATATCAATAATACTCCTAATTTTTAACTTGATGATACAAACTGATAAATTTTGGTCTCTTAAATAATAGATAGAAATGATATAAGGTTTGTTAGAAAGTCATCCAAGTTTTTGAAAATTTTAGTTCTCTATTCATGATCATATAGTAAAATATTAAGAAAATTATTTGTAGTGGTTTTCCAAATGAGAATTTGATTATGTTATTGTGTTAGATACTTGAGATGTGATCAAAGGGTGTTACAAGAACAACTAAGAGGAGGAAAAGTTCATTTTGGGGTCATGGTGTCAGAGGTCTAAATTCATGGACTCCAATACTCTGAGCCTGAGATGAGTGAGAACATTATGGCAGAAGAGCATGGTGGAGGAGAGATCTCAGCTTGGGGAATCTAGGACAAGACATAATCCCCAAGGGCATGCACCGTTGACCAACTTCCTCTAGCCTCACTCTTATCTGCCTAGTTAACCCCCAACAGTACATTCAAGTGATTAGTACATCAAATGAATTAATCAGCTGATGGGGTTACAGTTCTCTTAGCCCAATGTTTCCACCTTTGAACATTGCTACATCAGCTAACATGAGCATTGGACATTCACTAGATATGAACAATAATAGACATTCTTTGATGTTGTTGAATATATAAATAAAAACTGGAATAATTTGCAAAATGTTTGCTATTTCTCATTTAGTTCTTATTTGTTTTCTCAATTTCTAAGGAATACTTACACAACATTTTTTCATAAATCTCACCAGATGATCATGAATTACATTGGCTATGCTTTACATTTTCAAAGCACTTTATCAGGTCAATATTCTCAGAACAATTTGGGAAAATAAAACAACTAAAGCCAATATACATTGTTTACATATGTTTTTATTTCCAATGCCTTTAATACATATTTTTTGTGAATATTTGATCTAGGAAGTTAGCATAGTCATGTTAAGAAGATTGTACATCATGAACAAACTTTTTTATTCCCAGGGATGTTAGGATGGTTTAACATAATGCAAATTAATGAATGTAATTCTCCACATAAATAAGTTTTATGACCAAAATTATATAGTCATCTAAATAGATGCAGAGAAATCCTTCAACAGAATTCAGGACCCATTCATGATAAAAGCACTGGAGAAAGTAGAGATAGAAGGAACTAGAGATACAAGGAATGTTTCCATTGGTGAATTTTAACTTTACATAAAAGCAGAATTTCTTTTGATATGTTCATATGTGTATATAGCATAATTTGGTCAATTTTATTTCCCTGTTCTTCCCCTTCTTCTCCCTTCCTCCCTTATCCTTGATTTGATTCTCTGCTTTTATTCTAGATCTCCCTTCTATTTTTGTGAGATCTTCCATTCAACTTTAAAAATTCCCTCTTTCTCTCTCCAGCTTTCATATATCAGAAAAACATTCAACTTTTGACTAAATCTGATTCATTTCACTTAGCATGATGCCCCCCAAAGTCCTACCCATTTACCAGCAAATGAGAGAGTTTCATTTTTTTATGGCTGAATATAGGAAGAACAGAACAGTAGTGGAAAGTGAATAGGGGAAGGGAGGAGGAGAGGGGAAAAGGGAAGTATTGGGGAATGGATTGGAGCAAATTATGTAATGTGCATATCCACAGATAACACAATGAACCCCACTACTACATATAATAAAAATTTAATGAAAGAACTAATAGGCCAGGTGTGGTGGCACACACCTGTAACCTCAGTGACTCAGGAGGCTGAAGCAGGTGGGTTACACATTTGAGGTTCTAAGAAACTTAGTTAGACGCTGTATCAAAATGAAAAACAGCACTTGCTTGCCTGGGCTCTCTCTCTCATGCAGTGAGGAGGTTCTTGGAACAGGGTAGAGGAGAGTGTGGTTGCGGAGTCGCTAATTAAGACCTCCAGAGACCAAGCAGGAAGCAGGTCTGATTTTATTGCACAGTTACCATGTATATACACTCAGGTGTAGCTAAGCAGATTACAGGCAGCCACCAATGCAATTGTCTGCCAAGTGTCCTTGCAGTGACCATTGGAGGAGTGGCTATGGAGCAAGCACAGGGACTGCAACACATGGCCTCATGCCCAGAGCTGTGCCTACAGGGATGCTTACAGGGGTAAGAAGCCTGCAGCTCACAAGCTTAGAATGAGGGAAGTGGCCTGCCACTCAGACACCCTTAAGGTATGCCATGTATGCAGTCTCTCTATGTACTTGTACCCACACTTGCTGTCTTGTCTTTCTCCACTCTTGAACTTTGCCTTGTGTGATGAGATGACATAGCACAAAGGCCTTCGTCAGATGCCAACACCATATTCTTGGACTTCCCATCCTCCAGTACCATGAACCAAATAACTGTTCTTCATAAATTCCCAGTGTGTGAGATTCCCTTATAGCAGCCAAACCTGTAGTAAGACACTAGGGCAGAGGTGACTCCCCAGACCGTGTTCTTTCTTGTCATGATGGAGATTCTGAGAAAAGTGTTTTGATAGAAATGTATTCTAACTTTCAGACTTTTTGTGTTGGGGAAAATGTGGACAATCACTTTTCTAGGTAAATTCCCTCAGATGTATTTGACGTCTCCCTTCACTGTCAAAATGTGAGCCTGTAATATGTCTCACTTGCACTACTGTATGCAGTCTGCTTTCCCATAACTCTCTTCTTTTCAATTCAACTTATGTGTTGCCAGCACAATAAATTTTTTCTGGTCTGCTCATGTTTTTTTCTTCCTTACTCTTCCCCATATTATTATTTGATTGCAGATTGAAGTCCAATGTACTGTCTATCCTCAATTTTCTGGCTTTCCTTTCAGTTGAAATATGTTCCAGTAAACTGGCATGCCATTCATTCTTCAAACACCAGAATGAATGCTGGTCACAATTGCCTCCACTTAAATCATCTTCCCTTGTCACCTGCCTGTCAAAATCCTTCCTCAAACACTACTCTAAGAAACATCTACCTAAACTTCCCATCTGAAAGGTACCCTCCATCATTTTGTTTAGAACAATGTTGAAATCATCCTTCTAATTTTGTTAGCTTTTTTTTACACAATAATCACATTTTTTATTTTCTTACATTACTTCCCATATATCTTTCTTGTTGGCAGATATTCACAAAGTACTTGTTGAATTAGTGATATCTGTGCAGAGGGACTATAAGTCATCAATATTTGTATTTATTCTTTTAATTAAATTGAATTAAATGAATTCAATTTCTCCTAGTGATACTACTTGACTATTTCTTATATGCTTCTGTCATTGTTCTGAAAATCTCATTTCATTGCTCCTGAGTCAGTCAAGATGTACAGGCCAGGTAACCTGTGATAAAGACAGATTTTACTTTGACACATGGACTGTTGGGCCTGGGGAAGAAGCATAAGCTATAATGCAATATACTTGTGATAAATTTAATATTTTACAGTCTTTCTCATGTGATCTATTAATGGCTTATGCTCTATCATACTCTGCTCATGATTCTTTTTCTTTTGTAAACTTCTAACAACCATGTTTTTTTTTTATTGTTTCTTAATTGTGCCTGAAGAAAATATATGGGTTTGTGAATCTGCAACTTATACCCAGTAGCTTCCCATCAACCATATATTCTCTTCAGAAAGAAAGAAAGATTAAATTAGTATTATATATACTCATGGGTATTTAAACATGGGGATGTATATGCTTGTGATGTCTTTCACAGTGGTTTTGTGGACTGGGATTTATTTCAAAAATTATTATTATTTATGAAAAAATATTATTTTATTCCTATTTTGGATGTGTAGGCAGCACAGTTTTTTTAATGAGGTGCAATATACATGTATTGCCTGCAGTAAAATAAGTGTCCATTGTGATCTCATATTTTGCCCTGTTAATCTAGTGTTAGTATCATGTTATCAATTAAACAAGTAGTGCACTATAGACCAACTATTGATTTTTTTTGTTGGCTGTTCATTATTTTCTCTGTTCTTAGGTATGTTTTGCCTCTGCACCTAGAGTTGGAAAGAAATGTCATTGCAGCATTCTGTGTGGCTGTTGCATCTGGCTGCATGATTGCTTGGGACCACTAGAGGGCATGCTCCCTCTAGCAACAATTGAAGGAATTATTGCTTAGACTTCCTGAAGAATGAAAGTGTTTAAAAGAAAAAAAGAAATAAAGACTGTGCAGGCACTTTATCTATGGAGTCTGAGACTGTACCTGTTTCAAAATTTTTTGGAACAAAATTTGTTCCCTAATCCCACCATTAAGATCCAGTGTAATACACATTAAACAAAAATGTGAAAAATTTTAAAAATTTGAAAACAAAATGAAACAAAACAAAAACAATGATAAATCTTCTACAAACAACAAAAAAGAAAACAAAAATCTACTGCCTCCTCATCCTGTATTTTTTTGAGCAAGAGTTATTTGTTAGGCACTAGCTAAATGCTTTGTATGAATAGTCTCATTTAATCTTCACAGAAACCTCCAAGGCAGGTAATATGGTTTTATGTGTCTTACAGTTGAGGAACACAGACATAGGGAGGGTAAATAAAGCTTCCTACTGTACCTAAAGTGCCACTATGTTAGTATGAAAGATAATAACTAATTAACTGATTGTGGCCTACCTCTATGCCTTCATTACAAAAAGAGGGACTCTCCATGTTCATCCTAATATTCCAGACATTCTGATGCAATCATATGCTGCATTATTTCAGTGCCTTTGCACCCTCTGGTCTTTCTGCCTCAAATAACTACATGACTTCAGTACTCCTCTTATTCTGTGTCAATGTTGCAGAAAATTTCTTTCTGTGCTCCAAAATTTTCGCATTGGTCCTTTTTCTTCTAATATAGAAGTTTTCTTGATAAGCTCAAGTGGAAACAGTCTCGTCCTTCTCTTTTTTTTGCCACAACTGCATAGACCATAATGTGTTATTGTGCCTCTCCCACTGTGCTGAAATTATTTATTCACATGAATATCTAATAGACCTTATCACTTTACAATAGGAATTGTATTTTTTTCTTCCTTTTGGCTCCCAATAATGTTTATACAGGATAAAGACAAATAAAAGGCAATGAGAGATAAAAGAAACATAATATCTCTTATATTACAACCAAGTTTTAACAGTTAAAGCTTATATTGGGATAATTGTGATAAGCTTCATTTATGGTATTTGAATATTTCAATATTTTGAAGGTATTTAGATATTTATATCTAATTTTAGTATTATGCATGCTTAAAAAAATTTATGGAGAACCATTTTTTATGAACAACATCTGTTTTAGTCAGTTTTCTTACTGCTGTGACCAAGAGACCCCACAAGAACAGTGTTAAAGAAGGAAAGGTTTATTCAGGGCTCATAGTGTCAGAGGTCTCAGTCCATTAGACTCCAGGTAAGCTGCACCTCTTGTCCTTGGACTGTGGTGAGGGGAAGGGGTTTTGGTAACCCCCTGCCAGCTGCCAACTGTGATCCATCTACAAGGTCCTTCTATATGGATTATTGGGACAACCTACTTCTGAGGCATTCCCTATGTTTTCATTTGTAATTGTAGATGGGGAGAAGCTCTATAGATTTAGTTTCTTCTAAGTCTAGGTGTGGTTTCCACAAAACGGTTGTCCTTCCCAGCACCATTTTCTGCCAACAATTTAAGTTGAATTGTGCAATGTCCTTCATTGTCTTTGCTGTTTCTAACCTTTTTAAACTGTGTTTGATTGTTTTTTTTTTGTAACTATTGTTCAGGAAACAAGTTTGCCTGTGGTTTTCTGTCTTTGTTCTTTTCCCTGGCCCTACCATAGTCAGCTTCTGGGTAAAGGAATTATTTTCTTATTTTTTGATCTAATAATCTAATTCCAAGTTGCCCAAGTCTTAAGTTGTTCAATGTTGAGTTTTTGAGTACTTGCTCTGACACCCACCTCTCTGGTCAGTTGTTCTTTCCCTGCTTTGATTCCAGGCTGCAGAGGAGTGGATGGTTGCTGCTCTGGTCTGCTCTGCCATTTTCTGTATCCTGTTTGTCTTAAATAATTTCACTTCACCAATGTTACTGTCATTTTCACTTTTTCTCACTTGTGTTTGTGATTTTCTGTTGGGAGTAAGGTTTCTTTTGTTATGTTTTAAAAAATTTTTATTCATGAGTATGTTTTTAGATGGAGTTTTCCTCCTGAGTAATCTCAATCTAGTTGGGCTGTTGGAGTAATACTTTGAAGTGGTTTTGCATTTGCCTTTTTCAAATTTTCAGGGTTATTATCAGATGTAGACAGATTTTTAAATTCAACTGGTGGTTAGGAGTCTTTTCCCTATTATAGGTCATATAAATTTTCACTCAATCCAAACCTATGCAAAGACATTGTGTTTTTACCCTCAACTTTTATCATGAATAGTTTCAAACAGCAGTTGAATGAATATATAATTAACTTCCACATAACCACCATCTATATCTGAGAACTGTTAACATTTTGACCAATTACATAAATAGTATTTGTTGCACCATCTGAGAGTATGTTTTTTATATGGCACCTTGTCCCCAAATACTTCAGTACACATCTTTTAAAATTTTCATTTTCCTACAAAATTGAAAATCCTCTCTACCGGCTATTTGAAAATACTCAGTTCATTGCTGTGAACTGTTGTTTTTTTCCACTGTACTAAATGTTCCTGTACCCATTAACTACCTGCTTTCCAAATCTCTATTTCTGTCACTGGTAACTAGTATATTATTTCCATCTATAAGATCAACTTTTTAGCTACCAAGTGAGGGAGAGTATGCAGTATTTGTCTTTCTGCACCTATCTTATTTTAGTGAATATTTTCCAGTTTCTTTCAATTTGCTACACGTGACAAAAATCTCATTTTTCATACTAGTTAATAATATTCAATTATGTGTATATGCTACATTTTCTTTATCCATTTATCTGTTGATGGACAACTTATCTGATTTTATATTCTGACTATTGTGAGTAGTGCAGCAATAAATATGAGTGAATTTATCTCTTTTTGACAATTGCAATTTTTCAAATATGCACAGAAAATGAGATAGTTGGGTCATATGGAGAGTTTATTTTTAACTTTTGAGGAAATTTTTTAGTTTTTCCATAATGGTTATAATAATTTATATTCCCACCAATAGTGTATAAGACTTCCATTTCCTGTGCGTTTTCACCAGGATTTGTTAGTTTTTGCTTTCATTGATAATAGGTATTTGAACTGGGGTGATATATTTCTCATTCCTTTTTCTTTTCAGTACTTTATTATTAACTAAGCTTCCCCTACCAGGAAAAAGAACAAAAAGCCTACAAAACACCCCCCATAAAATGTACCTTAAAAATTCTCTGACATTTATAAGCAATTGAGCAACTGAGTATATTCTAGGTCCCACTTTCAGGCTGCGGTACTCTTACCTACAATGCAGGCTCACATAAATACTACCCACATAATGTTTATCATTGTGCATAAACCTGGGTTTGCAATGGTGGAAGAATTTTGTCTTTTTTAACATTTTCAGAGTCAATAGCTGCTATCAGTTGACTTTGGGGTTTAATTTCATATTGATATTTCTCCACAATGTCTTTAACTTCTTTTGCAATTCCACCAATTGATGGGGTGGGTTTGCCCTTCAGCACAATGTAGATAAGCTTGGGCAAGGAGCAGAAGAAGGCTTAAGTCATCCGCAGAAGCAGGCTCATTATTGGTGATCTTGATGGCATTAAAGTTGTGCTTGCTACACCTGGTCTGGTAGGCTAATTTGTATTGGACACAGGCTTCGAATCTGTATCAGAGATATCTGGTCCTCTTCTGAATGGTGTGGTCTTTCTTTTCGTCAGTAGTTTCTGAACAGAACACATATTTAGATCGGCAAGTCATGATGCACTTTTCCATCTGATCCATTATCTTCTCAACTGTTTCTGGAGGCACTTTTTCACGAGTCAGTATTCTTTCTGCCACATTCTGGTAAAACTCCTAACGGCACTCTGACTGCTTCTCAATGCTCAAATCCTTTTTGTAATGCATCCTTCGCAAAACATCTTGGTCGGCTTATAGATCTCTTGTTTGGTTTTGTGGAAGGTCTTGAGGAAATCTATTAGTGCCTTAGACACTGTTTCAATCCTGATTTGCCAGTTTATGGAAGGAATGGGAGCTTTTGCTTCCAGAATTTCTAACCTTTTTGATCCAACTCTGGAACAAGCACTAAAGAATTTCTTCACTGTGGTCACCTTGTGGACCTTTCCATTGGTTTTCTTTTCTTCAAATTTGGAAAATGTAATGAAGGCTGCCCCCTGGCTCGCTGACTGTTGCTGGCCAAGGCCTCTTCTTCCTCCTGCTGAAGTCCTTTAGCCAGCTCCCAGTCCTTCTGGATCAGCTTCTGCTGGGATCTGTGGTACTGTTCTCTCCAGCAGTAGTTGCAGAAGCTCTTCTGGGCAGGGTTGCCATAATACCCACAACCGTTCTTCCACAGGAGCTCCAACTGGTCTATGTAAATTCCTAGGTGCTCAGACTTAAGACTCATCTTCTTCCTGCTTGGTGACCCCTGGAGTCAGCACCACCTCCCCTGGTGCAGCTCCAGGAGATGCCTCACTGTGGTCTTGATTTGCATTTTGCTAATGGGTAGTGATACTGAAATGTTTTCCTGTACATGTGGGTAATTTGCATTTTTTAATTTTAAGAAATGTGTGTTCAGACCATTTTCACTTGGACAATGTATTTTTATTGTTGTGTTTCTGGAATCCTTATACATTCTTGTAGTAATTCCTGTCAGAAAATTAATTGAAAAATATTTTCTCTTTTTCTGTAGGTTGTATCTTTACTCTGTTGTTTCCTGTACTGTTTCCTAGACATAATGTTATGTTTTTATTTGCTGTCAGTGCTTTTGGGGTGTTATCCAAAATATCTTTTCTTCTATGGATGAATTGAATTTTCCCCCATGTATTTTTCCTGTAGTTTTATATTTTTAGGTGTTAAATTTAGGTCTTCAATACATTTTGAATTGAGTTTTGTACTTGGGGAGATGTGGTGGTCAAATGAAATCTTCTATTTTTGGTATTTCAAAAATAAAGTTAGATAACTGTATCTCCACTTTAAACAAAAAAATCACAAAGTGGCAATAACATTTCTTGTGTGTTCCTTTTTCCATATTTTCCCTCCCTAGTACATGTGTCTTTTATAATGTAGTTGCATTCTCAATTGTTGTTAGAACATTTTGTTTGCCCAGAGAGCATGGGTTGTGTGTACATGTGCTTGTGTGCTTAATTAAATATGTGCTAATTAGCATTTTATTGGGAAACTATTCATAGCACTGAAAAGTGAGCAAAATTTGCAGCACATGACTTTTATTTACAAAAAGCTCATGAAGGAACCTGTAGCAAAAAAGTCAACATAAAAGATACAACATAACTTTTTAGGAACTTCCATGCCTCCCTCATGAGAGCTCACATAACATATATGACAGGCACACGATACTAAATCCATAAAATATTAGTTAAGATTATTTTTCTTAAAATCACAAGGAAATATAAATAGAAGTTCTAGTATTTTATCTTTCTGCCCTAGTGTTTCCTCTTTTTTTTTTTTTTTAACAATCAGGGCACCTGTGCTCAATTTTAAAGTTCACTAAGAGATCTGTTGACTATATAATTTAGAGGGTTTGGACATAGATTGCATCTCCATTCCCAAGTGTTTATATCCTTCTCTGAGAAAGGATTAAGCTTTGATGCTATTGACGTGTTTTCCTATGGTGGAGTGTCTTTTTCTGCCCATTCACAGTTTTATCCAGATGACATCCATTGGTCAATAGATCAGAATGAATATAATATGCACTTGATCCAAATTGAGGATGCTGCTGCACAGTTCAACTTACAAGGAGCCACTCAATGATTGTTGATACTTTTTCAATCCTCTTGTACCCTGGTACTGTGCTGTGGGACACTGCATGTGTGGACATCCTCCTTATCATGCCTCCCACATGGCTTCCAGAACGAGAAAACATTCAGAAAGGATCCAAGTCAACTTATAGTCAGTTTAGGATCTACATCCTAAGCCCACATGTAATATGTGTGGGAAATAAATGTTATAAGCCACTCAGCTTTAGGGGTTGTTTCTGATACAGTGTAATCTATTTACAATATGACTTATTTTAGGGAGAGAGAAATAAGTTTACAAACATATTTTCTTAAATAAGTTGGATGAGAAAACCTTTTAGAATCAGTTATTATTATTGGGAGGAGGGTGTGTATATGCACAACTGTCTAAATGCGAGTACTTTGTGAAGTCCAAAAATTAATTGCAGAGAACATGACTTCTTTGTGCACTGTAGCACCCTTTTCCTACTAAAAATTTCTGTCCTAAATTAAGCACTAGATGGCACAGGGCAAAGTAGGTGTTTGCTGTAGGATGGGGTGAGCAGGTGAAATCAATGTAGCACAGGGCCTTAGAGCTCAAGCAGAGAAAGGTGACAATGAAGGGGTTTGGCTTGACAGTGGTATTGGAGCCCATGAAAAGTGAAGAAAACCTCACCATGGTGGTGGAGTGTCTTCTGGCATGGATAATCAGAGCCTGAGCATGGTGAGGAGGCTGTCCACAAGTGTCAGTGGCCCAGAGCAGAGTAGCAGAGGACAGGAGAATTGAGGAGGTGTCCCCAATAGGAGAAGGCTGGTGTGAGATGTCAGCCTGTGAGAAGAGGCCATCTATGTGGTCTTGTGGTCAGGTATGGGGAATGTAAGCAGGATAGGGAAGTCATTTATGCATGAAGTCAGTTTCTGTGAGAAGTCAGGGCTCCCTTTTGGGTGAAGGGTGAGTCCTGGAGAGGTGCAGCCTGGCATGAAATCTCAGCATCTGGGAGCAGTGAGTAGACACCACTGAACAGTGTTAGTTCCAATGTTGGTTGGGATTCAGTGCCTAAGTGTGGTGAGGAGGGCATCCTTGGAGAGGGTAAACCTGTGTGGGTTTCAGAGACCAGGTAGGGTAAAGAGGGTGTCTGTATGTAGAACTCACCACATAAGCAAGGTAAAGAAGGCATTAAATTTTTTTTCTTATTTTTAAAAAAAATTTTGTTCTACATGACAGTAGAATGAAGAATGTGTTTTGGCAGAACATACATACATAAAGTATAACTTATTTTATTTTTGCTCCCACTCTTGTTTCATACAGAATGTGGAGTTATACTGGTCATGTATACAAATACAAACCTAGGAAAATTATGACCAACTAATTTGACTGTCTTTCGTATTCACCTCCCTCCTTCCTTCCCTTTGTCTCTCTTTGCTAGTCCAATCTATTTCTATTATTTTCCTCTCCAACCTCTCTTATTGTGGGTTAGCATCCACAAATCATAGAGAACATTTGGCCTTTGTGTTTTTTGGATTGGTTTATTTCAGTTAGCATGATATTCTCCAGTTCTATCCATTTACTGGAAAATGCCATTATTTAATTCTTCTTTATGGCTGAGTAATATACAATTCTGTATATATGCCACATTGTATTTTTCCATTCATCCATTGAAGATTGTTTCCATAGCTTGTCTATTGTGAGTTCAGCTGCTATAAACATGGATGTGGCTGCATCTCTGTAGTATGCTGTCATTTGGGTATATGTTGAGGAGTGCTATAACTTGGTCAAATGTTTCCATTCCAAGTTTTCTATGGAATCTCCATACTGCTTTCCAGAATAATTGCACCAATTTGCAGTCCCACTAGCAGTGTATGAGAGTAACTTTCTCCTCACATCCTCACCAATACTTATTGTTACTTGTGTCCTTTATAAATGCAATTCTGACTGGATTAAGATGGAATCTTGGTATATTCTTAATTTGCATTTCTCTACTTGCTAGAGATATTGAATATTTTTAATATATTTTTTAACTATTTGCATTTCTTCTTCTGTGAAATGTTTTTTTTTGCCCATTTATTGACTGGTTTATTTATATTTCTGAGTTAAGTTTTTTTTTTTGGTACTGGGAATTGAACTTGGGGGTGATTGACCACTGAGCCACACCTTCATCCTTATTTTGTGTATTTTTTTATTTAGAGACAGGGTCTCACAGAGTTGCTTAGTGCATTCCTTTTTGCTGAGGTTGGCCTTGAACTTGTGATCCTCCTGCCTCAGCCTCTTGAGCTGCTAGGATTATAGGTGTGTGCCACTGAGCCCAGCTGTGAGTTAAGTTTCTTGAGTTCTTTGTACATCCTTGGGTATCCTGAATTTAATGTCTTATCTGATGTACTAGTGCTGAAGATTTTCTCCCAATCTGTAGGATTTCTGTACACATTTCTTTTAAAAAATTTTTTTTTTAGTTGTAAGTGGACAAATACCTTTATTTTATTTATGTGGTGCTGAGGATCAAACCCAGGGCCTCACACATGCAAGACAAGCACTCTACTGCTGAGCTCCAGCCCCAGCCCTTCTGTACACATTCTTGTTTGTTTCAAGAAGGAATTCTTGCTGGTATTTAGGACTTCGTATGGGACATCAAAGCCCAAGCAGGATGAAGAAAATATCTACACAGAAGAGAGATATGGTGTGGTTTTCATAAACTGAGCTGGATAAGAGGGCTCTTCACATATTGGCAAACCCCAGAAGGGAAATTGATCCTTACATGGTGAGGACTTCTATCCATGGGAGTAACCTTGTGTGGGCTGTGAGAGCTCAGGCAGGCCAAGATAGCTACAGATAAGCTTTAAGAATCTGATTCATCCTTAAAGAAAAGTAGAGCAGTAATACACCATCTCACTGACACATTTCTCTGTATTCCCAAGAAACCAGGCAAATTAAAAGAACAATATGCATGGTCTTGGACTAGAATGTTCAGGTGAATACTATCTTGTAGGACATTGACTCTCTTTCGTACTTGCTGTAAATTTGAGAGGTGGCTTAGCACAGGATCAGAACTTCAGCAAAGTGAGCAGAATGTTCATTTTGTGGGGTATGGTTGGCTGGACCTATGTGGGAACACTCAATAAGAGCTAAGAGGGCTTTAGGCTAGGGGACAGAAGATTAGATTAAGGAGTAAGAAATAAATCAGGAAGAACAGTGTCTTAGGGAATGATGGCACAAGATGAGAGATTGGTAACATCCAGAGTATAATCAAATGAGTTAACAAATAAGTAAAAAGTTAGAGATAATGAACACAGATTTCCTTATGTCACTGAAGTGTGGAAGAAATGTGGAAATTAAGAAAATGAAAATGAAATCTGAGGCATTGAATTAGAATTAGGGGTATTACTGTGAATTTAGTGATTTCAGTATATTTTGATATAAAATAAATGTGGAAATCAGTGGAAACAAATACAGAGGTGAGAGAGAGGGAAAGATATGGAAAGAAGAAGATAGATATAAGAGAAAAAAGAGGGCTGGGGATGTGGCTCAAGCGGTAGCGCGCTTGCCTGGCATGCGTGCGGCCTGGGTTCGATCCTCAGCACCACATACAAACAAAGATGTTGTGTCCGCCGAAAACTAAAAAATAAATAAAAAAAAAAAAAAAGAGAAAAAAGAGTTATGTAGGGTTATAAAAGAAGGGAATTCATTTGGGGAGAACTGAGGTATAGAACCCAGGCATGAGTTGGTTGAGAGCAGCTCTGTGGAATGATGCCACATGAAAGATTTAGTTTTTGGACTGTTTTCATTTTGGCCTTTGAAAAAATAAATCAGATTTGGCACTCAGTTTAAGTTCATCCTCTTCTACATGTGATTTCATTTAATTTTCCCAACTGTTAAGTACATTCATATTTACCTTCCAGAGAATGTTGCTAAGGTGATGTGGGGGGTAAAAGGAGAAATTAGTGAAGAATAAAAGGTGGTCTCCTCTTTTACTAAGAATTTCAGGAGATCTCAAGGTGGCCACTAGCAAAAATGAATGAAGGTTCATGATGGTGCTGATTGTGAGCAGCAGGGAAAGCAGAGAGCACAGAGGACACCTTCAGACTTTTCATTCCCCACCATGCTAAAGGAAGGTGGCTCTGAACATGGGGAGGCTGTCATCTGAGATTTGTGTCAATGATCACCTTAGAATGTGGCACAAAAAACCTGCCTGATTAGTCAAACCTGATAACATGAAGGCAATATGAGCAAGTGTTGCTCAGATTGTTTGGCTAAATAGTTACATTTGCATGTGGAAGCATAAATTTCAGTTTTCCTGGTGAGTTTACGAAATGAAGTTCTTAGTTCTTCTCTAATTGTCTGATTCCTCTTTTACTTCCTTCCTATTTCTTTTGAGTTCTCACTTTTGTTATACTTATCTATATCTACTGTTTGGAGGCTGTAATTATCATTCTGGTTGTCTTGAAGATCAGACTTCAGTGATTTCACTCTCAGGTATGTGTCTATTTATTACTTCTGCTCTCATCTAGTTAAGTGGTAGAGTAATTTGCTCTCAGGCTGGAATCTCATTTGTAATATGTTTTAAGGAAAAGATGGCATGGGATTTCTGAAAAAAGAAGAAGGTTTCTTCTCAAGATGGCTTTAGGAACAAATTATGCTGAAGTGAGTTTGAAAAATGAACTGAAGTCCTCAGGCGTCAACTCAAATTCTCCTGCAGGTAAAAGATCATTTTCCAGTGGTCAGTGTTAATTATGAGGTGAAGGATGAAGAGACAGTTGATAAGCAGGGCAGAGTTAATGTTACTTGCTGTGTCTCTGAAATGATCATGTCGGGGACACCCAGGAATCTCTGAGGATTGTGCTGCCCGTAGGTAGGAATGAAGGTGTTTTAGAGCTGCAAAGTGGGGAAAAAATCCATAATACTTTCTTTACTATTATCATTTACAGAAAACCAGATTTTGAATTTTATTGTATATCATTCCATATAGGAATATATAAAAATGTGTGTACCTGTATTTCCAGAACTGAAAGAATATAATACTGAGTTGTTCCTCCTCACCATTGACAATATACATAATTAAAAAATTGTTTATATTTATTTAATGCTTTTATCTTTTTTTTCAGTGCTGGGGATTGAACCCAGGGTCTTGTGCATGCAAGGCAAGCACTCTATCAACTGAGTTATATCCCCAGCTCCCTTAGTGCTTTTATCTTAATGGAAGTGACTGCAAGACCCCCAACAACTTTGGTAGTGATCATTTTCAGGTTTTGTATATCCTAAGCAAAATTGCTGTAGAACAAAGCTATACCCTCTGTTGTGAAAAGGCTTTCTGACCACGAAATAGTGACTTAAAATGCTGATTGTATAGTAAAAACATGAAATTTGGTCATATAAATTTATCTTGTATAGCATATTATAAGTTGGACGTAGGATTATTTAAATATGTAATGAAGTAATGAGCAACCATAACAAAATATTAATAAAGAGATTATGTTGAAAAAGTATTTATGATACAGTATAAAAGAAAATAGTGAATCAGAAATCAATAAATGTGTATGTCAATGAAATGGAAAAATGTTCATATATGTTGTACACACTTCAAAAATTTCTGAAAAGACATGTGCCAAAATATTAACAATAGTTAATCTCAATGGTAGAAATCTGTGCTTTTGGGTATTTTATAAAGTTTTTTAAAAATAATAAACATAATTGACTTTTTCTAATTTTAATTTTCATATTATTTCAAATATTCACAGTAGTAGTTGTTGTGCTTTATGGGAGAAAATTAAAGAGTAGAAGAGAAAGATGTTAGATTTTTGTAACTGTGACCAAAATACCTGATAAGAACAACTTAGAGGAAAAAGCTTTATTTGGGATCAACATTTCAGAAGTCAGTCTTTGGTGAGTCAGCTCCATCACTCTGGCTCTAAGGTGAGGCAGAACATCATGGTGGAAGGGCATGGCAGAGTAGAGCTGTTCAGCTGATGGCAGCCAGAGGATCATGGAAACTTCCTCTGAGTTTTCAAAGGAAGACCTGAGGGTTCAAAGTGAAGCAGTGTTGGAATTCCTGCAGGATTCCCTTGAGAAGGCATGCATGAAGCTGTGAAGGGGAAGCTGAAGCTGGAATGGAGATCCCAGGGATTAAGATATGCCAGTAATGTGGAATGTCTGCTGAGGGAAGCTGTTGGCTGTAGATGGAGTCAGCCTAAGAAAGAGACCATGTGGATGACAACCAGCAAGGCCATTTAGGTGGTGCTGCAGAAGCTCTTTGAAGATTACATCTCACCACAATATTACCAAGATGCTGGACATGGAGTTTTAGAAACTAATATCTGCCTAAGTTTTGGTTTCGTCCCTTCCTTCTATATCCTTATTCCTCCTTTTTGGAATGGGAACATTTACTTTATGCCATTGTATATTGGAAGTATGCAACTTGTAAGGACAGGCACTGGCGATCAAAAGGAGGCAGATTAAAAGCAGCTGAATAAGGCTTTATTGAGATTCATTCCTGGGAGAAAACCTTCAGTCCAAAGAGTGGGTCTGGGAGAAATGCGCCCAGGCTCAGGATTGGAATTTTATTGGGCTCAGGGCAGGTAGGGAGGGCTTGGGACAGGAAAGGGAGGTTTTTAGAATCCCTTGTCTTCCTGGGGTTGGTCAGGGGATCTTGCCTGAGATCCATGTCCTTCCAAAATTGGTCAGGAGAACCCGCTGTTTGACAGTTGGTTATGAGGCACTAGGACTGCTTGTCTGTTGGCACCTGTTTGATTGTTCTTTCATGCACTTGGGTTGCCTGGTGCTTTGTTTCCTTAGCCACCTGAAATCAACCTAACATCCCAGCCTTTTTTATGATATAGGATGCCGAATTCCATCTGGCTACTTCCTCCTTGCTAGGAGTACTGGGGAAAAGTGGATGGCTTGGGTTTTGGTTTGGTAGGGAGGCAATCGTGGGCATGAAGGAGCATCTGGTTGTGGGTCACTCTGGTAATTTCACCCCTGCGCTTACAGGTGAACCTGAGTAGGGAGGGAGCAATTATTCATAGAAGTTCAATTACTAATATAGGAGTGAGAATGGGAGTCAGCCACATAATGAGGGTTGAGTTTAGCCAGCCTGGTTATTTGATTGTTGCTGTTTAAGCTTTTCACCCCAAAAATGGAGAATGTTGACTTTCTTTTTGACCAATCTAGTTTCATTGATGTAGTAGCAGCATTTTTCTTTCAGGAATAGACAGGTTCTTCCTTTGTCTGCTGTCAGGAGATCTAGGGATTGATGGTTCTGTAGTGAAACTAGGGCAATCAATGTTATTTACCTTTTCAGGGAAGTTAGAGAGGTGTTTGATGCCTCTACCACTTCCCAAAGCTGTTGTTCAAGCTTCTGAGTAGTGGTTGCTGCATAACCAAGTCCTTCTGCCCCCAGTCTGGAGGCAGCAAGTGAGAAGGCTAGGGAGAGTCCAACTACTACTGGTAGAATGATGGCTTATCTTGCTCTGGAAAGGGAAGTAGTAACAAGCCATATTAATTCAGCCTCACTGTACAGAGTTAATTGAGGAACCAAGGTGGAAGGAACACAAGGGCATGCTGAGGCTTAGATTTTTTGTTAGGGTACCATTGCACCTGAAAAAGAACCTCCAGAGGAGAAAAAGTGGGGGAAGAGATTCAAATGATCTGGTCACAGGGTACTGAACCAGAGGAAATGTAGCAGCAAGAGAAATTCCCTGATGAGTTATGAAAAAGGGGTACTTCCTGAAAGGCTAGAGAGGGGGATTCTTGGGTGTTGGTTGAGGTATTGAGAGGAAGATCAATGGGAATCACAGGTAAAGGAGTATGATCCAAACCTGTGCAGAGGAAACAGTCTGAAATGTTATTAAATTTGGATAAATTGAGAAGCTGAAGGCCCTGATGTACTAGGGCAATCCATGAAAAAGGGTAAACTTTAGGATGGGCAACTGCATCCAGCTGGTGTTGGAGTTCTTTCTCTTGCTCCTGGATGGTTATATGAATTTTAGGGGACACTTGTACATAAGTTCTCCAGATTCTGATAGAGGCTGAGGGGAGCTTGGCAAAACCCTAGGAATAAAATTTACCATGAACACCACATGCTCATTTCATGTCCCATGGGTCCCAAATAGTTAATTTGGTGTATGCTCATTTTTCATAGCAAGGCTTATCTAGAAAGCATGTCTTGCATGAATTATAAGGGCACCCACCATAGGTGTTAGGCCAGTGCTTATAAGATTCCTAAGTTTGGTCTGATATGAAGTATAGCATTGCTGCACGTATGTGGGACAAGGTGGCTTGGTTGAATCCAGTAATGATTAGAGTGACTGCCCGATTGCAGCCAGTGGAAAGGCAATTACCTTGACCCATAAACTGAGAGTGGGTGGTGCTGTCTGTAGCCATGTCACTTGGATGTGGAAGCACCCTCTGTGGTTTGAGAGAGATTAATGATTAGTAAAAGAAGAAGAGTGTTGATGAGAAATCTTGAGCTTGGTGGGCCCCAGCATGGTGGAAGTCCAGGACTGGACATTTGGAACATGTGTCTTTTTAAGGCAGGAGACATGGTATCAGGGGGAGTGGCCCAAAATCTTGGCTGCCATTGGCATAGTAAGTATGACTGTATTGTTTTTTTTTTCCAGCAAGATTCCAATGATTGAGGATGCAGTTCCCAAAGTAAGACTTCACCTGGTTCAAGAGGGTCCAATTTGGTTTGTGCTTGCACTGGGATTGAGGCAATGGATGGTGCAGGAAGACACCAGTCTGCGCATTCCATTAGGAGTTTGTGTAGAAGTGTGAGATATGGCAGGTAGAACAAAGGGGGAGGGGGAGTGAATGGAAAGCTTTGGTTGATTAAGAAAGGGTGCCTATAGAGTACCTCAAAGGGGCTAAAGCCTGAGGGGGCACTAGGGCCTGCCTGAATTTGGGTGAGGGCTAACGGCAGGAAATTGGGCCAGGAAAGCCTGAGTTCAATAACAAATTTAGTGAGATGTTTAGTGAGATGATCCTTGAGAATGCTATTAGCCCTCTCAACCTTACCTGAGGATTGGGGATGGTAGGGGATGTGGAGCCTCCAAGTGATGTTGAGGCCTTTGGAGACTAGTTGAACAACCTGAGAAGTGAAGGCTGGACCATTGTCTGGCTGAATGGAGTTAGGAAGTCTGAACCTGGGAATGATCTGCTCAATAAGGATGGAGGCGATGGTGTCAGCAGTTTCCCGGGAGGTAGGAAGTCTTCTATCCAACCTGAAAAAGTATCAACCAAAGTAAGTATGTAGCAAAGCTTTTTGTGCCTAGGTATGTGAGTGAAGTCGAGCTGCCAGTCTTCGCCTGGCTGGTGGCCCCTCATCTGATGTGTGGGGAGTTGAGGTTTGATGCCCCCTTGTGAGGATACTGTAGAGCAGACAGAACAAGTGGAGTGGACCTGCTGGAGAGTAGTTCTTATTCCTGGGGAGTAAAAGAGGGGTTGTAAAAACTGGAAAAGGGATTTGGGGCCAATTTGAAGAGAGTTATGAATGTCCATCAATAAACTGTAAGCTTGCTGTTTAGGGAGGGCAATTTGGTCCCCCAGGAAGATCCGGCCTTTCTCCCCAAAATGGCCACCTTGTGTTGTTATTAGGTCCTGTCATTCTTGTGGGGGAATATTTAGGTTTAATTGTGGAGGATAGGAATAGGATAGGGACTGCTGAGAATTTTTTCATTAGTTCTTGTGCTATGGAGTCTACTTTGTTGTTGCCTATAGCTATAGGGTCAGAGGAAATTCGATGACCTCTGAAGTATGATGGCCACTAGTGATGGCAGTTGCAGTGCCTCTAAGAGTTTGGAAATCAGATTGGCATTGACCACTGGTGATCCCTTTGTGATCAAGAATCCATGTTCCTTCCAAGTAGCAGAATATGAATGAGCAATTAGGAAAGCATATTTGGAGTCTGTGTATATGCTAACATGTTTGTCTTTGGATAGAGTGAGAGCTCTGATAAGTGCAAAAAGTTCAGCTTTCTGGGAGGTGGTCCCTTCAGAAAGGCAGCTGGCTTCTAGAACTGAGGCCGCGGTGACTACTGCGTATGCATCTTTACACCATCTACAGTGACCTATTACCAAACCTCAGTTCACAACACTGGTTAAGTCAGGTAAGGGAAGTGGGTAATCAAAGAGGTCTTCATGGGGTGATTTCAGGTTCTCCAGAAGCTGTGCATAGGAATGGTTAGCATTCGAAGATGGTGGGGATGGTGGGAGGAGTATGGCAGGATTGAGGGAAGAAGAAGAACAGAAAGTAATGGTGAAGTTTTCTATAAAGAGAAGGTGGAATTCTTGAATTCAAGAAGGGCTCAGAAGGGGAAGAGATTTTGATTTAAGAGGTCCTGTAGTCAATGAATGGAGAATACAGTTATTGGTTGGAGCAAGGTAAGTTTTAAGGCTTTCATAATTAGTTCCACTGCTACTGCCCATGCTCAAAGGCATGATAACCATCCACAAACTGTAGAATCAAGCTGCTTGGACAGGTATGCCAACAGCTTATAGGAGGATCCAGATGTTTGAGCGAGGAGGCCTGTGGTGATGGTTAGGGTTTGTAAGAGATAAAGTGGGAGAAGATGTGAGAGCATCCCTGAACTTGTAAAAGGAGTTGGCTACTAGATTAGGGGAGTTGAGGGGCTCATGAGGGGTGTCCTTAGTTCCCTGGTATAAGGGCTTGACAGGATGTGCAAAGTTGGGGACCAATGCATGAAAAAGCCAGCCAGACCCAGGAAGGAGAGGATGTAGTCTGCTGTTTTAGATGGCTGTAGGTCACAGAAAGCTTGAATTCTGTTTATGTTAGGCTTCTAGAGGTTGGAGTGAGGAGTATACCAAAATAGGTGACTGAAGAGGTAGTAAGCTGGGCTTTGGCTGGAGAGACCCAATATATCTTGGACCCCAGGGAATTGAGGAGCTGAGAAGTGTGAGTTTGGGAAGTCTTGAGGGATGAACTGCATAGGAGAAGGTCATGCACATACTGTAAGAGAGTGCTATCCCCCAAGCCACAAGCAGTTAGATCCTGTGCCAAGTCTTGCTCAAAGAGGTGGGGACTGTTCCTGAAGCCTTGGGTAAAACTGTCCATGTCAGCTGTTGAGACCAAAAGGATGTAGAGTTTTCCCATGTGAAGGCAAAGAGGTAATAAGAGTCAGGATGGAGAGGCACTGTAAAAAAGGCGTCTTTCAGATCCAGGACAGTAAAGTGAGAAGAAGAGTGTAAGGGTTGTGAACCACTCGGTGGATGGGAATAACCACCTCATTAATTAGGCAGAGGTCCTAGAATAAGTGACAGGCTCTTGAGGGTTTCTGTACTGGCAATATGGGAGTGTTGCAGGGGGAGTAAGTAGGAATGACGAGTCCCTGGGCAAGTAATCAGTCTATGATGGGTTTAAGCCCCTCCCTGTGGGTTTTGGAGATGGGAAACTTGGGATGCAAAGGAAATTTAGTTTGAGGTTTCAGTTGGATATGGACAGGCTTGTGGTGGGAAGCTA